AGATACAATTAAAAAGCACGATCAAGACATCCGACTCGCCTGTACCGAGACCTCCGCCGTTTCAGAGCATGTTCACAACATCGGACAAAAGCCACTCTGAAACGAAGTAAAGTTTATTAATCGTGACCCTTATTACTACACGCGCAGGGTCAAAGAGTCAATTCATATAAGACTTCACCCTGACAACATCAACAGGGATAGTGGAATAGAAATTCCAGAAACGTGGATGCCCACGATCAAAAAACACAACAACAGGAGAGCAAATCACTGAATAAAACAGCAAAGATCGAAATGCACCAATCAGAGCTGTTGAAAAACAACTAATCACAGCAGAGAATCATGCTTTATAAGATCACGCATGACCAGTCGACCTCATCGCCTGAAGAAGACTAGCAGTATGCAGTCGAAACGTCGCGATCTACATCACACGTGGCCACATCGTGAGACAAACGGAAAACTTAGCTTTTATTGTTTTTCACCACGATGAATAACCACAACCCTTTTTTACGAAAGTGACTATGTTATTTGGATAAATGTCCTAAGGAGGATAAAAATTAAGACATGGTCTGCACAACTCACTTAATTTAATTTTTTAACCTTCAAAGCTGAGGCATTTATATTCTTGCTTTGTGCATTATGTGGACACCAATTAATTTAACTTTCATGCGTCAAAATACAAAGAAAGTTCTCTTCATCTTTGTGCCCTAAACATTACAGGGGAGGAAGTAAAAACATGAATTAAAACGGGAGGGCCCTCATTAATTTCAGTCCTAATTAAAGGAGGATCCTTGCTTTTCCAGATTCTCACCCTTCATACCTCACATATCGTGTGACCAATTCCTTATATCAATGTTTAGTTCGGCTATGAGCATTGGTAAGAGACACCACGCATTAACGAAAGCTTGAGCAAGAGTATCTAATGCAATCTAAATAATAATATTGTATTTTATAATGTGGTAACTTACACAGCAAAATTATATAATCACACAATTCCAAACAAAGGAAGTCAGGTTAATGACTCACCTGCTTTAGCTTTTGAGGGCTTAAGGTGCAGAGAAATAGACATGATAAACAATTACAATTAATACGAAGTTGAAAGTTTGAAGCCTAAAAGATATACATTATAATCATCAGACTCTATGCATCCGAGCAAGAAAAGGTCAATTATCACCATAATTTCTCCCAAACGTTAATGCTTACAGGAAATCATTAATTTTTGTAACTAGGTGGTACTGTACTTAAATACTTCTACCGACACAAATGCATTTTCTAAAGTTATCTCATAGCATATGACTGTACAGGTCATGTGGAAGGTTCCTGCATGGGTACTAACATTTCAATTACCTCAGCCAACTTTAATCATCAGAATTGCAAGCCAAGGTGTATTTACCATGTACTCAAGTTTCCAAATTAGTCACCTAATTGTTACAGTGGAGTTCACTCCTTTTTGAGGCTATCTTCAGCTTGATCACACTGTTACATGTGAAAACATCAAATGTTACTCAGATATTCAAATAATTACCTGAATAAAAAGTTACAATTTTTTTAAATAACCTGCTTCCTTTAACCCTTTAACTCCTATTTGTTACCAAGACAGAATTTTTCTCCTTACAATATCAATACATCATCAAGCAGAAAAGTGATGAAAATAAAGTGATGAGGATTATTAGTTGATCCAATACCAAATTCTCAAAACCAACCTCACAAGAACTGTATGGCAGACCGTAAGGAAAATTACTAATGAGATCTTGGTAGTTAAATGGTTAATCGTGTTCCAGAAATGTAACATGTAAAGTGTTCTTATGTACAATGAAGTTTCAAACTCATTAAAATTAAGTTGACTTCAAGACTCAGATTTTAGTTTAAAGAACTGTGTAATATTTCTTTAAATGAATGAAAAGAGAATGCCATTTATGAATTTCAAAATAGTAAATGCCAAAAACTTAAAGATGGAATTAAAAGAAACTACTAAAATATGTTACATCTATTCACTGAGATTATAATCATTAGTTGGCACACAGAGACATAAAAGAGGCTTTGTGAAAAAAACCAAAGCAGTAAAATTAAAGATTCAGGAGAAGCATATGGCATCAACTTGTTTACTGATGTTCTCACCTGAATTCAGTCCGGAAAGAGAACTCTGAATCACATATGTTTTATCTTCTTACACTTGAATTAAAACATAAAATTTAATTTTTTTGCATGCAGGTTAAGGAGGAAATTAAAAGAATGGATATATGTTACATAAGAAGAAACCCCTTACAATAAAAATAAAGCAGAAGCATATTACCTACGTGTTTTTACTTCTGAATACAGCTATAATAAGTATTTTTAAGCCATGATCTACATATGTAAACCGGGTGCATTATATGGTCGTAAAAACAATTTTATTCTAGCCTCCTTCTTGAAGGGTGCCTTGTGTATCAAATATATCAAATTCAGTACCTCCAGAGTCATATGCCAGGCTTTGGGGCTACAAAATAATAAAATAATCAACGACTTATGGCTGGCCAATTTACCGAGAGTCGATTAAGTATAGTTTCCTAAATTCGTATGGAAAGTTTAAAATGTGCTCCACTTGTGCTACATGTACGGATTTATCGTTCTTAATTACTGGTGAAATTCCGAGAGTGTGACTCAATTAATTCAAAAGAAAATATCCAAGCAGATTACAGAAATGGTTCACGAATTGTAAACTGATAATGTGTTAACAAAACCTCACTAAATTACGGTGCCGATTCAATGAAGTTCACCCATTGCGCAGGAGAACTACCGCCATTTTACCCGTGAGTTTGTTAGCACTACACGTTTGCGGTCCGTAATTTAATTCTCAGGTGTCTGACGGGTCCTCTCATGACAGTATTGTCAAAATCAAATTACTGCGTCAGACTTAATGTAAACACGGACATCGTTGACTCAATCTCATTTTATTTCAATTTTGGAAAAGGCCACTACTTAGTTCTTAGGTTAAAACAACACTTCTTCGACAAAACGCGATTTTTTTAACAGAATCGAGTAAATCCTGCAATAGTTGACTGAAGAGAGAAAGAGGTAGAAACCTGCGCTCGCCGTTCGCTATCATTTGAAAACTTTCTAGGCAAAACAAAATCCGTAAGATAACTTCTTTTTCATTACACTACAACTGTATAAAGCATTCCAAACGACAGGACAAGAAATACCTTGAAGAATACGAACACTTTGAAATGTTATTCGAACTAGTGCGAGGGTTTTTAGGGGATGAAGGCCAAAGTCATTGTTTTACCGAAACGTGATTTTAATTATAAACTGAAGCTAGTATCAAACGACGACTGGTAAAAAACGTTTGAATTTTTCTGAGCCCTAGCGTTAGAGAAAACCCAGATAAGACACAACTTACCGGTACCTTCTTCTTTCTCGGATCCTATGAAGTTCGCTTCTCTTTGTTGATGATCTCTTCTCAATCTGTTTTCCTTCTCGCGTTGCTCCTCGCTAGATATTCGCCTTTTTTACTTATGTCTTTCCTTGTCCTTCTTCGCGTTCCTCTTGCCGTATTCTGTCTATTTTGGTGTCCTCTCGAACTTTCAAGCGCGTTTTTCTCGACTCGTTTTACGTCTTTTACTTCTTGTTTTTTTTGGTCGCTCTGCCTATTTCTTTTCATCCTATTTTCACTCAGAACCCTCTCTCTACGAACTTGAATTATAAAAATTTCTTCCCGTTCACAAAGCTTTAGCTGTGCCGGTATTGTTGCTTTGCGAGTTGACTAGAAATTGCAAAATGCTAAGAATCACTGTCCAACTACAACCTCACCAGTTTGATTTCGCGCTCAAAACGCGGGTTGCAAATTATTTGCTCATGCAGCTTCACATCCACTAGCCCACGTGAAGCCCTTGTGCAATGCCTAACCGTGTGCCTGGGGTAAACTACACTGAAGCTCAACACTCGAGTATGCGCACTTCATTGTCATCTGCCGGTGTCTCCTAGCGCACACTAATCGGGTATCCAAGTTACGCACGTAATCGCGCCTGTGCATTACCTTCTCCCTTGCCCTTCCATTACGTAATGGCTAAGATAGTTCCGTGGTACAGTTGGCCGCGCATGCTAAAAGTAGCACCTTGTACGTCCAAATTTTTTCGGCTTCATGTGTTACTACTATTTCGTATAACTATGGGGTTACGCTTCGCGCGCTGCGAGTTCCGCTAAAACGAACACTCTGTAGAATGCAGAACCTTCACACAGGAGTAGCTAATACGGAACATTCTCCGAACACACGCAAAGCCTGTGAGTCATAACATATTTTTAATTTAGGAAGCAGACCAAAGGAAACCTGCTTTCTTATTTTAATTTCTAGAAACGCGAACTTGCCGTAAGGAAATGCGATTATTATTAAGATGTGGGCTGGGCAGTTTAGGATGAGCAGTAAGCTGTATGATACAACAGCAGCTCCTTGAGAGCCCAGTAAATCGGTTTGGTTAATAGCATTGCTCCTTCTTACACAATTGACTTGAGTTAATGTAAACTTGTTGCCGGTTCTGTTAGCCAGTTAAATTTTCCAGTTGGTCTCTGATTTGCGTGATTGGCGTGACAGTGTAACGAACACTCTAGTAGAACAGACGGCAAGGGTGTGTTCCCTTTGACGGACAATGTAAAAAAAATCCATATGCGGAAAAAGAAGCTAAAGTCCAAACTCCGTAGAAAATATGTATGAAACTTGTGGCTAAAATAAACACTCCGAAACTTCTCAAAACTCAAAACTAAGGGTTAAAAGAATAGCGCGAGCGAAAGCTCAAAAACAATTGACTAAACTCTGTTGAAACAAGCAATAAAAGTTCGCGAAAAATGATTTGCTAATTGTGAAATTACGTGCACCGCACGTGAACACAGAAAGAATACAAGGCGGGGAGGGGAAGATAAAAATTGCAATTTGAAATTTAAAACTAAAGAGATTTTCGAAAAACAATCCTTGCATAAGTTTTTACTAATTTCTTCTTTTTTTTTTCAAACTGAGAAGAAACAGGGTCAAGATGGACAGCATAGAAGAAGCTATATACGTAGGTATGGTGATCGCCGAGTACCTTCACAAAACTGGTCGCGTGTTGCAAGCCATCGAGGTATGCAAGGAATGTTTGATAATCTTACACAGTCTTGTGAAAACGATTGGAAACAAACACGACCAGGCAAGATGTTACAGAGGCCTCGGAATAATACTCCAATCGTTTTATGAATATGACAAGGCCCGAGAATATGAGGAGAAAGCACTCGCTATCATAATAGAAATTGGTGACAGGAATGGACAAGCAACAAGCTACGGAAACCTAGGAACTTTGTTTTATTTACTTGGTCATTATAACAAGGCCCGAGAATATGAGGAGAAAGCACTCGCTATCAGAATAGAAATTGGCGTCAGGGATGGAGAAGCAAAAAGCTACGGAAAGCTAGGAGTTTTGTTCCAATTACTTGCTCATTATGACAAGGCCCGAGAATATCTGGAGAAAGCACTCGCTATCACAACAGAAATTGGCGACAGGGATGAAGAAGCATCAAGCTACAGAAACCTAGGAATTTTGTTCGAATCACTTGGCCATTATGACAAGGCCCAAGAATATGAGGAGAAAGCACTCGCTATCACAATACAAACTGGCGACAGGAATGGAGAAGCAACAAGCTACGGAAACCTAGGATCTTTGTTCCAATCACTTGCTTATTATGACAAGGCCCGAGAATATGAAGAGAAAGCACTCGCTATCAGAATTGAAATTGGCGACAGGAATGGAGAAGCAAAAAGCTACGGAAATCTAGGAACTTTGTTCCAATCACTTATCAGAATAAAAATTGGCGACAGGGATGGAGCAGCATCAAGCTACGGAAACCTAGGAACTTTGTTCCAATCACTTGCAAAGTATGACAAGGCTCTAGAATATGAAGAGAAAGCACTCGCTATTAGAATAGAAATTGGCGACAGGAATGGAGAAGCAACAAGCTACGGAAACCTAGGAACTTTGTTCCAATCACTTGCTCATTATGACAAGGCCCGCGAATATCAGGAGAAATCACTCGCTATAAGAATAGAAATTGGCGACAGGAATGGAGAAGCAACAAGCTACGGAAACCTAGGAACTTTGTTCCAATTACTTGCTCATTATGACAGGGCCCGGGAATGTGAGGAGAAAGCACTCGCTATAAGAATAGAAATTGGCGACAGGTATGGAGAAGCATCAAGCTACGGAAACTTAGGAACTTTGTTCAAATCAATTGCTCATTATGACAAGGCCCGAGAATATCAGGAGAAAGCACTCGCTATTAGAATAGAAATCGGCGACAGGAACAAAGAAGCAACAAGCTACGGAAACCTAGGACTTTTGTTTAAACTACTCGGTCAATATGACAAGGCCCGAGAATATCAGGAGAAAGCACTCGCTATCAGAATAAAAATTGGCGACAGGAATGGAGAAGCATCAAGCTACGGAAACCTAGGATCTTTGTTCCAGTCACTTGCTCATTATGACAAGGCTCGAGAATATGAGGAGAAAGCACTCGCTATCAGAATAGAAATTGGTGACAGAAATGGAGAAGCAACAAGCTACGGAAACCTAGGAACTTTGTTCCAATCACTTGCACAGTATGACAAGGCTCGAGAATATGAAGAGAAAGCACTCGCCATCAGAATAGAAATTGGCGACAAGAATGGAGAAGCAAAAAACTATGGAAACCTAGGAACTTTGTTCCAATCACTAGGTCAATATGACAAGGCCCGAGAATATCAGGAGAAAGCACTCGCTATCAGAATAGAAAATGGCGACAGGAATGGAGAAGCAACAAGCTACGGAAACCTAGGATCTTTATGCCAATCACTTGCTCGTTATGACAAGGCTCGAGAATATTATGAGAAAGCACTCGCCATCAGAATAGAAATTGGCGACAGGAAAGGAGAAGAAACAAGCTACGGAAACCTAGGATCTTTATGCCAATCACTTGCTCGTTATGACAAGGCCCGAGAATATCTGGAGAAAGCACTCGCTATCACAACAGAAATTGGCGACAGGGATGAAGAAGCAACAAGCTACGGAAACCTCAGAATAGAAATTGGCGACAGGAAAGGAGAAGAAACAAGCTACGGAAGCCTAGGATCATTGTTCCAATCACTTGCTTATTATGACAAGGCTAAAGAATATGAGATGAAAGCACTCGCTATCAGAATAGAAATTGGCGACAAGGATGGAGAAGCAAAAAGCTACGGAAACCTAGGAACTTTGTTTAAATCACTCGGTCAATATGACAAGGCCCGAGAATATCAGGAGAAAGCACTCGCTATCAGAATAAAAATTGGCGACAGGAATGGAGAAGCATCAAGCTACGGAAACCTAGGATCTTTGTTCCAGTCACTTGCTCATTATGACAAGGCTCGAGAATATGAGGAGAAAGCACTCGCTCTCAGAATAGAAATTGGCGACAGGAATGGAGAAGCAACAAGCTACGGAAGCCTAGGATTATTGTTTCTTTGCCTTGGTCAATATAGCGAAGCTGAAGAGTGTTTGGAGAAAGCACTTCGTATCAAAAAGAAAATTGGTGCAAAAGGAGATGAGGCACGTATTTATGGAAACCTCACAGGTTTGTTTCTCTCGCTCGGCAAGTATGCAAAGGCTGACGACTATCTAAAGAAGGCAATGGCAGTTAGAAAGGGTATCGGTGATAGAAGCGGGGAAGCAGCAGATTACAGACACCTCGGGTTAATTTGTCGTAAGCGTGGTGAATATGGCAAGGCTCAAGAATATTACATGAAATCCCTTACAATTCACATGGAAATCGGGGAGAGAGAAGGAGTACTATTCAACTACAGCGATTTAGGATTGTGTTTCCAATTGCTTGGTAAATATGACATGGCTGAAGAATACCTTAAGCAGGCCCTCCTATTAAGTAGGGATATTGGACACAACCTAAATGAGTTTCACTGTCTTTGTAATCTATCGGTGTTAAAGATGTCACAATTTCATCTTAAAGAGGCTTCTTCATATCTTTTTCAAGGCATCCAAAAGTTCGAAACTTTGAGAGGTTTTCTTAAAGAAAACGATCAGTTTCAAATATCTCTTTTAGAAGAGCACGGCACCTTTCCTTACATGTTGTTCAGTCGCTTGCTTTCTTCCACTGGAAAGCCGCAAGATGCCCTTTACGTCGAAGAGCTGAGAAGGGCAAGAGGCCTGGCCGACCTGATGGCAGCTCGGTACTCTGTTCAAGAGCAGATCTCAAGCGATCCACAATCTTGGTGTGGTATTCAAGGGATCATCACAAAAGAAGCGGACTGTACCTGTCTGTACCTTTCGGTAGGTCAAAATTATGTACGGTTTTGGATAATTCAAGCAACGGGAGCTATTCAGTTTTCAGTAAAGGAAGTGAACCTGGACCAAAACAAGGTGACCGGAATAGTTCCTGAGTTAGATGAGTTTTTTAAAGAAGCCTTCCGCAGCCACACCATTTTACCAGAACACAATTGCAAAGATCAATCTTTAGATGACACCGAACTGATGTCACTTCATTACGATGACCGCTCAGTGCTGCGTGACTATGATGCCAAAGATTTCAAAAGAAGTCTTCACTTGTGTTACAAGATAATCATCGCTCCTGTGGCCAGTTTACTGAAGCAACCCGAGATCATTATTGTCCCTGACTCCTGCGTGTACCAAGTACCATTTGCAGCCTTGGCTGACGAAGGAGGCAAGTATTTATCAGATACATGCAGGATTCGGATAGTTCCCTCTCTAACGACTCTCAAGCTTGTTCAAGACAGTCCTCCAGACTATCACAGTCAGACCGGGGCACTGATAGTGGGTGACCCTGTGGTTGGAGAGGTGATTTATAAGGGAAGGCGCAAAAATATAGCACAATTGCCGTGTGCTAGAAAGGAAGCAGAGATGATTGGAGGACTTCTTGGGGTAACGCCTTTGATAGGAGATTCCGCGACAAAGCATTCTGTACTTCAAGCGATAAGTTCAGTGAGCTTGATACACATTGCTGCCCATGGTGATGCCGAAAGAGGGGATATTGTTCTTTCTCCTAAGCACCCTTCCCCACTCCCGCCTTTTCCTCGAGAAGAAGATTATCTTTTGACGATGGAGGATATTTCAAAAACTCGGTTGCGAGCTAAACTAGTGGTGCTTAGTTGTTGTCACAGTGCTCGTGGACATATCAGAACTGAGGGAGTTATTGGCATTGCCCGAGCGTTCTTAGGATCCGGAGCTCGTTCAGTGTTGGCGGCACGATGGGCCCTGGATGACACAGCCACAGAGCAGTTCATGACTTGTTTCTACAAACATTTGTTCCGCGGTGAAAGTGCCAGTGAATCTCTCCACAAGGCCAGGAAGTGGATGAGAAATAACGGCTTTGACAAAATTTCTCAATGGGCGCCATTCATGATCATCGGCGACAACGTGACATTTGATTTTGGAAATTGGCCGGTGCCTAGCGCACCTTAAGAATCATGACTTTGATAAATCCTCTGTAGCTCAGTAAAGCTCGGAACTATTTAATTACTAGCCTGTAAAAAGAGGAAGCCATCTGCGAAGGACAACTCAGATCGATACACAGATGAAAGCACTTCTGTAAAATGCTTATCAGACATCTAAGTTTAATAATCTGAAACAAGACAGCGTGTAATGTTATCTCTTTATAAGAGTTCCAAAGTTAAAAAACTCCATTTTTTTTGAGTCATAAGTTCAATGAACAAGCCAAGCGAAGTGTGACAATTTTTAGGTTACGAACGCGATTAGTTCTTCAAGGAAAGAAAATTTTTAATCGTTTTTCAAAGGTAATTAGTTAGTCAATTCAAGAGACTTTTAAACAAATGTGTGACTTGGAAAAGAATTTTTTTTTTTAATTTTTTGGAAATTTCTTGCAAGGCTTTTGACAAGAAATACTGTGGTTTAACATGCCAAAATAAACACATTTAAAGAAAAGAGATAAAGAGACACTCTTGTATGGTAATGCAAACCACTGCATTTTCATAAATACCCCAGTAATTTTATCAATCTAACCCTGTAACCCCTAAGAGTGACTAGCATCTAATTTCTCCTCACAATATCACTCCTGAATCAAACATTAAGGTCACGAGAATAATGGAAATGATCAACAAGTACAGGAGCTCTTGATTGTTCTGCAAAATCTCCTTGTCAGCACCTTAGGAAATGGATAGGAAACAGTATGGAGAATATGCATACTGACCTTAGGGTGTAAAGGATTAATCGATACCCTTATGCGTAGGTACCGTTGTATCCTCACACAGACTCTCGTATGCTTATAGTTACTTTTGTATACTCATTATCCTTCACTTTCGCTCTGCCGCTACTATTTCCCCCCGTTTTATCAACTGAATGCCTGGAAAAGGTTACTTTAATATCAAAGGAAAATTTATGCAGGGGATTGCATTTTTTGACCAAAAAAACTCGACAGATTTTTCGTTTGCTACTTTTGTGCCATATCTGTGAGTTACAATGAAAACCGAAAGAATAAGAAATATATTTGTATTCAACGAAAATTTGCATGCGAGAAAAATAGTTCATTAGACCGTTGAAATGTATTAGAAATGCACAAATATATACATAAGTCTTGGCTTTAGTCTATCCTTGCTCGATGCGTTCGCAGAGCGTGGTATATCTGAAGGTTGAGCTAATCAATAAGACAACTTTTCTGTGACTCTGAGTTTCACGCTTACGCAATCATATACTATATTGATAAGAATACAGAAAATTATTAACGAGAAGATGTGACCTTCAAGTAACACCACTGAATAATTCTAAAGAGAATTAAAATGTAAAGTGATTGGCAGCCACAAGACAAAATTATTCATCAGATGTAGGGAATCACTGAAATGGTTGAAACTGACTTATTAAATGTGACTTATTGAACACCTTCGATCCAATAAGTGTGGATTGTTAAAACGAGTTGTCATCAGAATTTGTCCCACTTTCAGCTCAAAACAGTGTTACAATGCAAGGTGAACGTGGCAACATGAAAACCTGACTGATTTTCTGTCGATAAACCGCACTCTAACAGGTCTGTCGGGAATGGTGACCCCTCTCATGAACGGCTCCACATTCTCTACCTCCGGTGGGTAAGAGAAGTCAAACTGCTGCACGATTCTGGCCATCAGCAAATGGAGCTCTAACTCGGCAATACGTCGACCGAGGCACATTCTTGTTCCGAATCCAAATGGAAGAGAAGCGAAATAAGATGATAATGAATTCTTTGTCTTAAGTCCACTTCAAAATCAGATTATCAGTTACGTGTTCGAGGTGACTAATACACTGATCTTTCTTGATGACTGTGCTGCTTCGATAGATGTGTACCAATAATTTTTTTGACCCGGCATTTAGCACTCAGCATAAGATCCAGAGAAATCAGGGTTCGGGTCCTCGCACGGCAGATGATAAGCATCGTAAAACCATCCAGAGAGAACATCGCTGAATCAGTTCTCTTCTGCACACCATCATCCAAAGACATGAAGATTATATTTGAGAATTACACAGGCGACTTTAAATCTGATGAGCAGAACGAATTAATATCTGAGCTTAAGCGAGTTAGTTATTCACACCTCATATTCTCACTTCGTTATTCTTATAGTATTCATCTCGAAGTAATTCAATGAACATATTTGCATTTCTTTCTAATAAAATGGAAATCATTGAACATGATTAAGAAGCTGTTAAAGATGTTATTAAAACTTTCGAGGCCGAACCCTCAAGTGATTCAGATCATCCAGAGCAACTCGTTGTTTTTGTTGTAAGAGGTAAAGCGAAGGAAATAACTGGACAACATTTCACTCAAGATCAAGTCAAGTGACTTTCTGAGAAAGATGTCGAGAAGTTCTTCAAAAGATATGAGGCTTCATTGTCTTCAAAGACTTTTAATGCCGCTATGGTTGGTACATTTCTACAACTTTCATACAAAAGCATAGGCTCATATTCACCCTTGCTATGAAGATGAACTTCTGAAGAACTTGAATGAACATTTCATGATCAAGAGAGAACTTAGTATAATTGCTGGCAGATGGAGCTTGAATTGTGGAAAGTGCATGACAATCGCAAGTGCTGCTCTTGTCATTGGTACTTGAGTAAGAACTCGAGTAAGTACTGGAAAATTATCTATCAAACCATAAAATGAATGGTGAGGAACTCAAGACTGAAGAAGCGCCAATGGCCCAACAGGTGACTTCAACAAATAAGAATAAGACGAAACCTAGGAAAGACCCTGGGAGGTGTCTGATCAACGTGAGAACAACAGTGAAGCATCACCAGAAATCAAGGACATTTCGAGCCCGCTAACAATTATCAGCGGTATATCGTATTACACTCCAGAACAATAGAATATCAAGAGAATTCAATATTGCGGCGATCACGGCTCGATCTGGAAAGAAGAGTGTTTCGTACCATGACTTATACAATTTGAGCACCGCAGATCTTCTATTTGATCAAAAGAAAAAGAAAAGAAGGCCTGCAAGTAAATCTTTGGGATTTTTCGAGGCAGAGCGACGACATGATGTCAGAATTTTGATTTGCTTTAATTTAATTTTCGCGCTAAGACTACTGAATTTGCATTCAATGCCTGGCATATTTTTATTCCAAAAAGGACCGAGAACTAATTTATTTCCCTGCAAGAACATAAACAAATATGGCCGACGATTCGAAGATCAGCGTTGCTTGCGTTTAACTATTTCAGTCATAGTTTTCAACATGGCGTCTCGTCACTTACTCAACATGGAAAATAAGGGATATTCTGGCGCGTTGGGAACTTTTTCGATGGGAGGAAATGGCAATTTTACAGGATATTTGGACGCTTCGAACTCTGTAGCAGTCAATTCGATCGAGAGCAGTTGACTTTATTGATGCACTTTCCTGTAATAGGCGAGTGTTTGGGATGGAGAACAACGGATTTTGAAGAACTATATGGCGACCTTGGTCAATGATCAATGACAAAAGAACTGGCTCGGGAAGTAAGTGGTTTTTATTTATCGAGTCCCTGTGAGGTTTGATGAATAGCAGAATCAGTACTGAATATGTCTCGATCGAGAGCAGACGGGACCATGAGCTCCTGATTGTTATATTTTAGAAATTTTACAAATTTCCATACAGTTTCTTATATTATTTGGACGCCATTATGGACGAAATGCGTAAGCGCGGCCGCCATCTTGTCCAATATTTCTGCCGATGAGAAAGTTGAAACATCATCATCCCGACGCACTCAGATAACACTTTCAGTAGTAGGTATAGTTCTTTCGCTAACTGAACTTCAGTATAAAAGGAAATAGATCATGGCTTTCGTTAAAATAACCATTCGTAGAAACTGAAAATATTTGCAGCCAGTCGGAGACCAATCAGGTGAAGATGAAGACGTGCTCAATACCACTGTTAGTCGGAGACATACCATAGCAATTAGACGAATGGATTTATCTCCATGCGACTAATGCAAACAGAGTCTTTTCTCTTATGAAAAAACTAAACAAGTCTAAGGCAACTGGCCTGGACAGAATATACCATGCAAACATCAGTCGGGTTTTCGTGCTACTCACTCAACTGTTGCAGCTTTGCTTAAGGCAATTTACTCCTGGGCATATGATATACCTCGATATAGACATTGGACAATCAACGAAGTTATTTTCTAGATTTAAAGAAAGCTTTCAATACCGTTCCCCTGACAACATTCTTCGATCTAAGCTTGACCTTCATGTTATATCTAGGAATTCATTAAAATGTTTTCAGTCGTATTTGGAGAACGGTACACAACAATGCTCTGTGGTGAGTCCTTATCTGAGAGCCGTGTACTAACCTGCGGTGTCCCTCAGGGGACTATCCTCGGTTTATTATACATAAATGACCTTCCAAAGTGATTTTTAAACGGTGAACCCACGATGTCCGCCGATGACACGCATCTCACATATGCAAATAATGAGGTAGGCAGCGTTGAATCATGTCTTAGTTAGGACATGTCAAATGTGCATACTTGGCTAAACGCAAACAAACTTACCAAAACCGAATTTATGCGGATAGGATCTGGCCAAAGGCTAAATACCGTTACTGCTTCCTCGTCAGTCACAATGGACGGTACTCAGGTGGAACAGGTTGTAACAACAAAACCATTTGGTGTAACAACTGACGACAAACTCAGCTGAAATTTTCACTTCGAAAAACTTACCAAAAAGACCTTTTCTGGAATCATTTGTGTGGAGGCAAGGAAAAACGTTGGGTTATTTCTCGACTCATCGACTGTCATAAACAAATTGCTGGCCTCAAGGAGTCCATGTGGAATATTTCTTAGAATTGTGAAATTTCCTTCTTACTGAAGGTGCTTTGAAGTATGTTTGATATTATATGTGACATTGCTCAGAAATGTTATCCACTAGAAGGTTTCTTCTCGTAAGTGCTGTGATGTTCGTCCTACGTCGATTTGTCGATAACGCGCCAATCAATTCAATAGCTTTTCA